TACACGCGCACGAGCCACACGCGACCTTCCAGGACAGGTTCGCGTTCAACTTTGGACATCGCGGGACCGGAGCCGACCCTTGCAATGCATTCCATGGGCCCCGTCGCGCCCGTGGACTCCGTTGATGACGACGAGTGTCTTCCGCCACCGCGACAGGCGTTGGGATGCGGCAGGCCACCAATGGGTTTCGGGTTCTCTGCCCTCACATCTCTCGCAGTCTGCCTACTGTTTGTTGTTTGTGTGGCTGCCGCGCCTTCACGTGATCGCTCCGTGTCAACATCTTCGGCAACAAGGCGCATCGGCGACGAGGTCGATGGTGCTGGTGGGCTGACGCCCGCAGCTATCCCGCCGGACCTCTACTGGCAACCGGAGGGCTGGTACCACACCTGGTACCGGACTACGTACGGGTACGGGTGGACGTGGCTCCCGGGCCCCCCGCAGCCACCTGAGGCAGCTCCGATCGTTGCCGAGCCGCCCTCGCCGGGTGGTGCTCCACCATCGCCAGACTACGACCCACCCGCCTGGGGCGGTGGAACCGGGGATGAACTTTCTTCCTCCAATCAGCACCGGACCGGGCTGGTTGCACCCGGTGGGACTGCCTGCAGCGACATCGGCACATCTTCAATTCCCTCAATTTGCTCTACGCATGATTTAACGGACAGTGGTACCAGCTCTCCTGGGCGCTGTGACAGTGGCACCGGCTCTCCCGGGCGCTTTCGACGTGGCTAGAGTTGACGAGGTTGAGATTAGCCTGCCTCCGGACTGTTGTGCTGCTGGTTCAGGTTGCCCCAAGATGGGCTTAGTTTAGGGTTTTAACTGTATCCGAATTCTGCAGTATGCCTCGCTACCTGCTAGTTTCAGGAGTTACCCTGCCAGAAAGGACAGGTTCTCCTGTAGGATGCTTATTTCCACCGAAGCTGAGTAGGTGTTTGTTTCAGTTCCGTGACCACCTAGTTTGCCAGTCACCACCCTAGGTGGTGTGCTGGAAGTGACGCCCCGACTGTCACTCCTATAGTTAGGGTGTATGACTGTCACCGGTCCCGGAACCCTAGACCCCGAACATATAACGGGAAGACTCGGTATTCTCCTCATCTGTTTATCTATTCTGATTACCGCACACCGAATATACAGTCAAGCTGATATATTCAGCAAAGCCAAGGGGGCGTGTGAACCGCACAAGGTGCAGGATCAGAGAAAGCGAAACCGAACGGGTGAGCCTGCCAGTGGTGGGACCATAACCTGATGTGAACAGCAAAATCTATGCAAAGGGTGGATATATTTGCGGGTCACTACAACTCAAGAAGCAGGCAGTGCAAACCCTGAGTGTCACAGTTAAAGATGAGATAATACAATAACTTGGTGGTTTTATTATCTGTCTGAACTGATGCCGGGCAAGATGCAACGTGAGACCACAGGGCGAGGTTCACGGGGGATGCAACTTTCACCCCCTGTATAAGGGTGACTGTTGCCCCCCTTCTGCTGTCACCCCTCACTGTGCTGTGACTCTCTGCTGTGTCACTTGCTGCAGCATCACCAACCGCTAGGAATATTAAAACACTATCTGTATTCTAATATTCACTTGAGTACTGTATCCGAAACCCTGAGCTCACGGCTTCAGCTTTCTTCTCTGTGAAAGCTTATAATATATTACAGCAGTATATATTTTAGCTTTCCCGTCAGGTTTGGGCTGCACCACTTGAAGCGGTGGTCTCTTTTTTTTCGGTCCTTACTCTCGTCATCGCATCTCCAGCGACGTCGCGTCTCCAGCGACCGCATCTCCAGCGAACCCTTGTTTGCATCTCCAGCAACGCCCCGCTGTTACCGTAAGATTACGGCTACGGGAATCATCTGGGCGTGCCGTATCACGCCACTTTCGGCTTCATTGGCATCTCCAGCTACGAGACCGACTACAATCTATTCGCGGTTGTGCCTCTCTGAACAGCAGCACCCCTTCTGCACGAATATTGGCTTACCGCACGGTATTTTTGACGTCACCAGCGTGTTCCTTGTCAAAAATCACCTCAATTTGACTTCCCCATCACTGGAAGTTATCAATTTTACGGAAAGTTACGGTTTCGCCTTCGCACCCTATCTTTGCTTCACATAATTTTGCAGTCTGCAGCTTGCATCTCCAGCGAGCGCCCTTCTGCTACCGCCGGTGTGCGCCAGCGGGTCGACATTTCGGCGTGACGTATCTCGCCACTGTTGGCCTCACGACACCTCCATCTACGACTACGACGACATCATCTTCTAAGCCTTCGCCTTCCTGGACAGCGGCACCGCTTCTGCCGGAATATCGGCTTACCGCACGACTTTTTTGACGTCACCGGCGTCTTCCTCGTCAAAATTCACCCCAATTTGACTTTTCCATCGCTTGAAATTGTCAATTTTACGAGAAGTTGTTGTTTTTCACTTGGAACCCTATCTTGCCTTCGCAGAATTCTGCAGTCTGCAGTGGGACTATGTCCACTGAGCGACAACGTGCGCGCATGGCCGCTGTTCAGGCTGCCCTAGGGACTGTTCGGGTACATCGACGAGATTCTACAACTGGATGTAGTGTGGTGGTGTCTGGTGGTGCTCATGCACCAAATGCCAAACTCAAGTCCATCGCTTTCGCCATCGTCAACCAGAGCTTTGACTTCTACGAGCTCGCCCCGCGGCATCCTCAGCTTTGCCCTCCACCTTGCGCGCCTCTTGGCCGCTGTCTGGTGGTGGCGTGTGGTGGTGCTGCTGCACCCATCGCGCCCATTCTCCTTTCTGCTTTCGCCATCATGTGCGGGGAGGATCCACACCGCGTTTTTTACCTCACGTCCATTGCCACGCCCGCTCTGGTCGTGCCAGGCCACCGCAGGGGTATCGGTTAAAAAAAGGGGGAAAAAATGAGCAAAAGAATGAACAACCCTAGAAATTGTCCGATCGTGTGATGTGCCTGCTAGATTCTAAGATGACGCCGGCAGGGCCATTCTAGTCGGGTTGAAAAAGGCCCCTTAGATCCGAACAGTCTTGCAGGCCCGCGTAACACTTGCATTTGGTCACCTCACACCTACGGGGTGAGGTGGTGTCACGGGGGATGCAACTTTCACCCCCTGTATAAGGGTGATTGTTGCCCCCCTTCTGCTGTCACCCCTCACTGTGCTGTGACTCTCTGCTGTGTCACTTGCTGCAGCATCACCAACCGCTAGGAATATTAAAACACTATCTGTATTCTAATATTCACTTGAGTATGTATCTGAGCTCACGGCTTCAGCTTTCTTCTCTGTGAAAGCTTATAATATATTACAGCAGTATATATTTTAGCTTTCCCGTCAGGTTTGGGCTGCACCACTTGAAGCGGTGGTCTCTTTTTTTTCGGTCCTTACTCTCGTCATCGCATCTCCAGCGACGTCGCGTCTCCGGCGACCGCATCTCCAGCGAACCCTTGTTTGCATCTCCAGCAACGCCCCGCTGTTACCGTAAGATTACGGCTACGGGAATCATCTGGGCGTGCCGTATCACGCCACTTTCGGCTTCATTGGCATCTCCAGCTACGAGACCGACTACAATCTATTCGCGGTTGTGCCTCTCTGAACAGCAGCACCCCTTCTGCACGAATATTGGCTTACCGCACGGTATTTTTGACGTCACCAGCGTGTTCCTTGTCAAAAATCACCTCAATTTGACTTCCCCATCACTGGAAGTTATCAATTTTACGGAAAGTTACGGTTTCGCCTTCGCACCCTATCTTTGCTTCACATAATTTTGCAGTCTGCAGCTTGCATCTCCAGCGAGCGCCCTTCTGCTACCGCCGGTGTGCGCCAGCGGGTCGACATTTCGGCGTGACGTATCTCGCCACTGTTGGCCTCACGACACCTCCATCTACGACTACGACGACATCATCTTCTAAGCCTTCGCCTTCCTGGACAACAGCACCGCTTCTGCCGGAATATCGGCTTACCGCACGACTTTTTTGACGTCACCGGCGTCTTCCTCGTGAAAATTCACCCTATTTTGACTTTTCCATCGCTGGAAATTGTCAATTTTCCGAGAAGTTGTTGTTTTTCACTTGGAACCCTATCTTGCCTTCGCAGAATTCTGCAATCTGCAGTGGGACTATGTCCACTGAGCGACAACGTGCGCGCATGGCCGCTGTTCAGGCTGCCCTAGGGACTGTTCGGGTACATCGACGAGATTCTACAACTGGATATACTGTAGTGGGGTGGTGTCTGGTGGTGCTCATGCACCAAACGCCAAACTCAAGTCCATCGCTTTCGCCATCGTCAACCAGAGCTTTGACTTCTACGAGCTCGCCCCGCGGCATACTCAGCTTTGCCCTCCACCTTGCGCGCCTCTTGGCCGCTGTCTGGTGGTGGCGTGTGGTGGTGCTGCTGCACCCATCGCGTCCATTCTCCTTTCTGCTTTCGCCATCATGTGCGGGGAGGATCCACACCGCGTTTTTTACCTCACGCCCATTGCCACGCCCGCTCTGGTCGTGCCAGGCCTCGTTGGGTCGTGGCACCGCAGGGGTATCGGTTAAAAAAAGAAAAAAAAATGAGCTAAAGAATGAACAACCCTAGAAATTGTCCGATCGTGTGATGTGCCTGCTAGATTCTAAGATGACGCCGGCAGGGCCATTCTAGTCGGGTTGAAAAAGGCCCCTTAGATCCGAACAGTCTTGCAGGCCCGCGTAACACTTGCATTTGGTCACCTCACACCTACGGGGTGAGGTGGTGTCACGGGGGATGCAATCTCTCTTCACTGTATAAGGGTGGTGGTCGTTGCCTCTTCATTGCCACCCTCACCGTACGTGACTCCTCCACACAGGTCACTTGTCAGCAAAGACACAACCGCTAGGAATATTAAAACACTATATGTATTCTAATATTCACTTGAGTATGTATCTGAAACCCTGAGCTCACGGCTTCAGCTTTCTTCTCTGTGAAAGCTTATAATATATTACAGCAGTATATATTTTAGCTTTCCCGTCATGGGAATCACAAATCCAGTCGACTCGAGGGAAAAGATGCCGAGACCGGGTTCGAGCCCGAGACCTCACTGTCACTAGCCGTGCGCTCTATCCACTGAGCTATATCGGCTTATTGATGACGATGAGAGATGGTGGTGGCGTAGTATGGTGTGAGCGACGGACATGTGATCCCCAGCCTGTGACACGTAGGCGGCGAAGAGTGAAACACGAAGGATACAACTTTTCCCCCAATCTGCCGTTGCGGTGCGCTCTCTGTTGGGGCATCGCGCGGCTATGGGCGGCGCGACTGTTGGGGGCGTGCGGCCAGTGCGGCACGATTGTATCCTTCATGACACCGAACCTCACTCTGAAGTGTCTACGTGGCACAACCACAACCAGCTGCCGGCGTCACACCTGCGCAGTGGAAGCGTGGTAAGAGCCCATAACCTGATGGGAATCACAAATCCAGTCGACTCGAGGGAAAAGATGCCGAGACCGGGTTCGAGCCCGAGACCTCACTGTCACTAGTCGTGCGCTCTATCCACTGAGCTATATCGGCTTATTGATGACGATGAGAGATGGTGGTGGCGTAGTATGGTGTGAGCGACGGACATGTGATACCCAGCCTGTGACACGTAGGCGGCGAAGAGTGAAACACGAAGGATGCAACTTTTCCCCCAATCTGCCGTTGCGGTGCGCTCTCTGTTGGGGCATCGCGCGGCTATGGGCGGCGCGACTGTTGGGGGCGTGCGGCCAGTGCGGCACGATTGTATCCTTCATGAGAGGTGTGACACAGAAGAGACAATCACCCCGCTATGGGGGCGAAAGTCTGCCTTCTCCATGACCCCCCCCACCCTGACGACTGCAGCGGAACCTACCCTCGGAACTTGAAGATATCAAATTTATCAAAATTTTAAAGTACAATAATTGCAAACTTTCAAAATTTCCCAAGATCTGCCGTTAATGCGGTTGGTTAGCGCGTCGCTCTGCAGAACTTGACGTCTCGGGGTCAAATCCCGGTGGGAAATGCAATTGCACACGAAAAATTTCGGCCGATTTCGTAAATTTGCATATCAAAAAATTCGGGTAGGAGGGGGGACTACCCACTTGGACGCGCCGCCTTCGACAAGGGTGGGGGGACTGCGACCCGAGGTGGACGAAGAACAGGGTGGGGGGACTTGCGACCCGAGGTGGAAGAACAATGGGTGGGAGGGGGTGACTACCTACTACTTTTGAAAATGGCAGATCCTATGTGGGCTAGTTATTTCAAACTATCTCGTCTATTATTATAGGCCTTTATATTTCTCTTGTCCCCAGAGCTTATGGACGAAAATATACATTTAGGGTTTGTAACTCTGTGGGGTACATTTCTCCGCGCCTCTTCGATCAACTGTAATGTCGACCCTCGCAGCGCAGCGGCCGCGCTCGGAGAAACTCTGGGAACAAGAGTAGCCTTTATGGTGTCACTGTATCAGTATGAGTATCGTATCACGTATGGCGTACGGTAGTCGTAAGTCCGACTTAGTCCGGAAGAGCCGTTGAGTTGTTGAACTGTTGAACTTTCAACTTTGAACTTGCAGTTCAGCTGTCGTGTGTCACAACGACAAGTTGAAGTATCGAGTACAACAAGTACTGTAGAGCCGTACTGTATCGTTTGCGCGTTGCCCGGGCGGGGCGGGTTCGTGATTCGAACGTTTGAAAATGTCTGCAGGGGCAACTGCAGTTTCGGGGGATCGCTTTGGGTGGTGGTGTGTTTTTCTCACGGGCGGGAAGGTAGGCTGTTGTAGGCTTGACAAGAAAATACGTAATTAGGTCGAACAAATACTTGAACCGGCTTCGAGCATTTGTCCCTGGGAGAGTGATAGGCATGACGTTCAGGCGAAACCGCGTCGAAGATGAACCCAAGTGCAGTCTCGAAGTTTTCGAGGACGAGCCTGTGGCAAGCGCACCTTTCTTGCCAATGAAGCGAACCACTTCTTACCAAAATAGCGATAAAGAAAATTCAAACCCAACGTTTACACTCTCTCCGTCTTTTTCTCCCCACGCTCGTCGAATTCGAGTGGACACCACCGCCCCCCCCAGCGAGGTACGCACCCTGAGAGCCGTTGCCAGCAGTCTTTCAGCAAAGATATCTCGAAGATCTTTCTTAGAAATCCTTACCCAAATATTTGAGTGGAACAAAAACCTCTTGCCGTGAGCGGTGTGCGCCCTTAAACATCCCAGACACAAATTGAAGGTGGGACGAGTGGAGATGTTATTGCAGCCTTGCTCGACAAATAAGGTTTCCGCAAAGGACGCCAAGTCGCCCTTGCCCACAACAACAGGCGTCTCGAGTAAGCCCCTTTACAGCTCATAGTATGTCTTGCTGCGTGCCAATCCAATTTATCTCACGGTGCGCTGCTGCTGCTCACTGTGTGCTCCTCTGCGCAGCTCCTGGAAGAACGCCATTAGGTGACATCACGAGACGTGTCGTTGGGAAGGTGCGCGCTCCCCTCAACCGGGCAAATGGTCCACACTGCGTTGTGCGCACCACACCTGCGAATACGTAGTTGCACGTATGTAATCCTGCATTCTCCATGCGGCTTTCGGGATTTCTAACAGCACATGAACGTGCCTTGAAGCACAGCTACTGTTTTGCCAGTTTTTCATACTGCGAGCACATTCCTAATTAGTCAAAATCTACCATCTGAACTTGTGCACTCACCGAGCCTCACCTACCCAAGTATTATTCATTAAAACTTACGAGACAGGAGTTTTGCTGGGTGCCCAGGCAGGAGCCCCCAGGTCTAGGAAGCGTGAGAGAGACCAAAAGGGTAAGCCGTGTTGTGCCCTTGCCGCTGTGTACCTCGCTTTTGTTGTGCCCTTATTATGTGAAGTAGACTTTTTGTAGATTGCACGGTTTCCCACTGAGTTGCAGTGTAGGAAGTATGGGCTTTTCGCTTGAAGAATGCTGTGACGATAGGAAGCGTCACGCCTTGGTCTTGGAGGGATCTCTCACAGTGTGCCTCACCGCAGGCAAGCGTAAGGAAAATTCGGCATCAGCGCCCAGCGCCCGTATGATGCGTTAGTCTTCCACACGAGTGCTGCTGCGTGTCGTCGTTCGCTTTTTCTTGTCCCTTGACCTCTCGAGTGGACGCAAAGCACGCGCCCTTCACTTTTTTCAGGGCGTTCTTCACAACTGAGTAGAAGATAGTAGACGCGAGTTCTCGGCTAGGCACAAATAGCAAAGTGGAATGAATAACTTCCGACTTTTAGCTGTTTTTAGTGTTCTCGTGGAAAGCTGATAAGTCGCAAGCCCTGCAGTGGAAACTTCAGATTCAATCAAATCATCAGATTCAATTAAAAAGAACAAACTCAATACGCAAGTGAGCATATTGATCCCACCCTACACAAACAATTAATTCTCCACTTGCGCCAGAAACGTGTTGTAAGAAAGCTGGTCTTGGAAGTAAGCCTTCTTAGCCAAACAATCTCAATTTTGAACAATTTTGCTTGGATCAATTTCTTTAGTCAGCCTGCGTTGTGGAATACCAGAACGGCTTTGTGGCACTATTCTAGCTTCCTGTGGTTAAGAGCTTCGGGCCTGCAACTTGTAATGGTGTGTTTGTTGCAGTTGCAATGTGTGTAGTGTTTGCCTCAACGGGCGCTAGTGCTTGATCGACTTGATAAATAATCATGAATAAGACAACCTTTTCAGGTTGTTTAGCTTTCAACGGAGGGAGTCTAGCCCTCTCTTTGTTCCTTTTTCAATCCGGTTTTCTGTTGGTTATACATATGTATTATAGGGTGTTGAATTTCAACAACAAAAAGTTGGAAAACGTTTGGGGGGACTTTAGGTTCTCTTGGCTCCCGCGAAGGCGGGTTGGGGGGGGCTTTAGCCTTTGGCTCCCGCGGGCGGGAGGGGGGCTTTGGGCCAAAACCCCAAACGATTTCCGGGCCAATTTTTAAATCCAACACCCTATTACCCATATATGCTGTTTGCTATATATTGTCTATATTACTTGCAAAACATAACTTTGAATAACCAACTACGTTAAATATTCCATTTGTGTCACATGCATGCGAGTCGTGGACTTTCGACTTAGAGGTCCGCCGGGGCCGGTCGCGACACATCCGTAAATAGGCCTTCCATAAATCACGCGCGCCCTCCCATTAACACGTAAACGACGAATTCGTTTTGAGCAGTATAGCATCAGCGTACGAGCGCGGAAACTGCCATAACTTCTACGTTGGTAGACTATTTGACATGTATGAAGTATTGATGTCCATATTTGAGACTTAAGCAAGGTCCCTGCTGAAATATGTATAGGCAGCCCTGACTGGGAGTCCCGGTCAGGCCCCTATGACAGATCCCTAGGACCAACACTGGACTGCTGACTGATCTGTAGGTTCGTACTGTGACACACGCGGTGTCACAGGTAGGCTAGACTCCGAGACCGTCCGAGACCGTTCCGGGTATATCTAGCTTAGGATTTATTTATCTTAGACAGTTTATCCACACGAGTACGGGACTTTCTTATATGTAGTGTACTTGGATATTCCGGTAGGTCGTGGCCCCATCCACGTTTTCATTCCACTTGCTATCTTGGCCATGATTGGCTAAGCAGCCGCTTGAAGAGGTGGTGCGCACTTGCGCGTTTGGGTGCGACTAGGATTTGGACATGACTTTACGGTAGACGTCTCTTGCGGCTGCGAGTCATAGGGCACCGCGCGTTGCTATTGCTCGGTTTTGGCAATGTTCATTTGCGTTACTTTACCTGCCCTGATCCCGCTGGTTTACGTATTTTGGGCTGGTGCTCCGGACACCTTCGACCACATCGACATTTGCAAGTGTCCCACGCTCCTTTCGCCGCTCCGCACGTTCTGCCGTTACGTCTTCGCTCCATTTCCGCCACAACACCCAAACGTGCTACCGCGCATCATCTTTTCTATGGCTTTCAGAAGTATGGCGACATCTACACGAGCTCGCAAGCGCCTATTGAAGGATTCCGATTTGGACGCCTCGATACGGCTTATAGATGAGGTTCGGGACACCCCAACCGCTAGCACCCCGCCTGTGGTGCCCCCTGCTGCTTCCAGCAACTCCGACACCGCTGTCGCGTTGCGGAAGCACCTTGTTGACCAGCATGC